TGGGGCCCCCTTTTTTATGCAATTCATTTGCTAAGTGCATTTCCGCTTTTGTTTCCCCACTGATTATGGACGGATGGCGATCTCAATTTGCATTTAGGGGGCGGTTTTCAGGTCACTGGTGTGGATCTCTTGTGAGCTTCTGCGGAAATTCCTCTGGATTGGGGATTTATATCCGTTTTTACCAGCTAACGAAGACGGATGGAAGCCAGGCCGGTGGAAAAAGCGCTATTTTTCTTCGCTGCGAAGCAACACACATAACAGAGGTGGAAAGCGGCCAGCGAAACCGGACTTAATCTCGCTAATTCGGCGTATTAGTTCCGGTCAGCGGAATTCCCTTATTCGCAACAACAAAGAAAAATCTCTCTGTCTCATCTGGGGGACATTCTAATTATCAAGCTGGCCATTTGCGGGCAACGGCACAAAAACCGGGATAATAATCGGGATGGCCGGGGCCGAATTAATGGCACAACTCGGGCGCTCTTCAGCTCATTAAGTCCATGGAGGATGTTTGGGATCAGTCCGAAACTGGACAGTCTGAACAGACTGATTTGGATCGAAATTGAACCGATTCATGGGATTAGCGATATTGATAGGAAACAGGCGATAAAATTTTTATTGGTGAAACATTTGGCAAATTGTCGCGCGTTGATTTATTGAATTTAATGCGTCCGTAAATCCTTTAACAGCCTGTTATTTCGGTGGAAAGTAAACGCGAACGGGATTAGGCTGCTGGTGAGATAAGTAGTGACGATTATTCGGCTCCCATTTTGTTTCTAATCGATAAAACCGGGTTGTGATTGGAGAAATTTTGATCGTTTTCGTCAAAAACCATCTGGCTTCTGAGCGCTGGCTGCGTTGGGCTGCCAATCGACGCTACATTGAATTATCATTCAATTGGAGCAATTTTCAGAAAAATTGCTTGATATTTGCAGGTTTTACAGACATTTTTTCAAAACGGCAACAGGTAAAACCTGCCAATTGTCACATTGAACGTTTGTCATAAAGTACATTAGAATTTAATTTGAGCAAGTGTCATTGTTGTCAAATATGTCATTCGCTCACTTGCCTCTTGATCAAAATCGCTTTATTCAGTATTTTGCTTAGCGGCCAAGCAATCGACTATCAGACGTGTTAACGTCTGACAGCAGTCAAATTGACAGAAGTTTTGTAGGTTTGAACGCTACCCACTTCAAAGTTTCCAAATCTTTGACGTTTTGCGGCAATCAGCCAACTAGCTCATATTTCAAGGCTTCTGAACTGGAAGTTTTGCTCTTTAGGCACAATTAAGGAATCAATCTTCCAGATAAGAGCGATTTTAATGGCGCAAAAGAGATTGAGAGAGCAAGTTGTGACGTGTTTTTGCTACTGCACTGGGAGGGGATCTGTCACTGTCTTAAAGCAGTCAAATTGACATAATTGCTGTTGGTTTGAGCGCTAAACACTTCAAAACTTCCAAATTTTTGACGTTTTTCCGCAATCAACCAACTAGATGAGCTTTTAAGGGTTTTGAACTGAAAGTTCTGGTCTTTACACCCAATTGAGGAATCAATCTTCCAGATAGGCTCGATTTTAATCGCACGAAAGATATTTTGTAAATATAAGTAAGCATTTTTGAGCCCATTTATGCAAAAAAAAAACATTTAAAAACTCTTAATTTTCTATGAAATACTGAATGGCCCTTTTGAAGTTGGAAGAAAAATACGTTTTGACGACTTTTTAATGTAAAAAACGATTTTATTGTTGTTGCTAAGGACTTTTCTCCAAAACAGTCCACAGTGGAGGAGTGATATTTTGCATTGCGAGCACATTGGCATTTTCAAATATTTTTGAGCCCATTTACGCAAAAAAAAACATTTGAAAACCCTCTAAATTTTTTATGAAATACTGAATGGTCCTTTTGAGGTTGGATGGAAAATTGACGTTTTGACGACTTTCTAATGTGAAAACTGATTTTGTTGCTGTTGCTAAAGACTTTTCTCCAAAACAGGTCACAGTAGAGGAGTAATATTTTACATTTTTTCATCTCCCGATCAAGGCATTTAATTGGGAAAAGTGTCATTGCTGTCAAATAACTGTCAATTCACTCACTTGCCTTTTGACAAGAATCGCATGTTTCGATAGTTTCCTTGACAACTAATCGTCAATTTGACATTTACTATTTACTAAAATACTTTGGTCGGTACGCGTTTTTCAGACTCAGTCAGATTTGGGCAAGTGTGACGTGTTTTCGAACTGCATGTGTCACTGTCTGACAGCAGTCAAAGTGACAGAATTGATGTTGGTTTGAACGCTAAACACTTCAAAACTTCCAAATTTTTGACGTGTTTCCGCAATCAGCCAACTAGATGAGCTTTTAAGGGTTCTGAACTGAAAGTTCTGGTCTTTAGACCCAATTAATTTATGCAAAAAAACATTTGAAAACTGCTTTAATTTTCTATGAAATACTGAATGGTACTTTTGAGGTTGAATGGAAAATTTTGATGACTTTTTAATGTAAAAACTGATTTTGTTGCTGTTGCTAAAGACTTTTCTCCAAAACAGGTCACAGTGGAGGAGTGATATTTTGCATTTTTTATCTCCCTATCAAGCCATTTTTTTGGGAAAAGTGTAATTGCTGTCAAATATGTCATTCACTCACTTGCCTCTTGACCAGAATCGCTTTTTTCGATACTTTTCTTGACCAGCAATCGCCAATTTGTCATTTTCCTTTGCAGTCGGTGCGCATTTTTCAGAATCAGATTTTAGCAAGTTGTGACGTGTTTTTGCAACTGCAGTGGGCGGTGATGTGTCACTGTCTGACAGCAGTCAAATTGACAGAATTTCTGTTGGTTTGAGCGCTAGACACTTCAAAACTTCAAAATTTTTAACGTTTTGCCGCAATCAGCCAACTAGCTCATATTTCAAGTGTTCTGAACTGGAAGTTTTGCTCTTTAAGCAAAATTAAGGAATCAATCTTCCAGAGGCGCAATTTTAATGGCGCGAGAGGGAATATTTAAATGTATTTCAGCATTTTGAGCCCATTTATGCATGAAATACATTTGAAAACTCTCTTAATTTTCCATGAAATACCAAATGGTTCTTTTTGAAGTTGGGTGAAAAATACGTTTTGACGACTTTTCAATGTAAAAACCGATTTTGTTGCTGTTGCTAAGGACGTTTCTCCAAAATAGTCCACACGGGAGGAGTGATATTTTGCATTTTTTATTTCCCTATCAAGGCATTTCATTGGGAAAAGTGTCATTGCTGTCAAACATGCCAGTCTGACAAGAATCGCTTTTTTCGATACTTTCCTTGACAACCACTCGCCAATTAGACATTTTCCTTTGCAGTCGGTACGCATTTTTTTGAATCAGATTTGAGCAAGTTGTGACGTGATTTTTCAAACTGCAGTCAGACGTTGACACATCCCTTATGTGTCAACGCCTGACAGGAACCAAATTGACAGAATTGCTGTTACTTTGAGCGGTAGACACTTCAAAACTTCAAAATTTTTGCCGCAATCCGCCAACTAGATGAGTTTTTAAGGGTTCTGAACTGAACGTTTTGGTCTTTAGACTCAATCTTCCAGATAGGCGCGACTTTAATCGCGCCAAAGTGATTTTTAGGATTTATTTAAGAATTGCTGAGTTCACATACTACGTTCACTGAGTAGATCATACCTATGCATGATCATTTGGGGTTTACGCGATTTTTTTGGGGTGGGAAAAAATTGGCATTGTTGAACCGGCAGAAGTGCACTCAAAAGTGTTTGAAAAATAATCAGGCCAAAGTGCATCCAGGCGCTTTGCCGGTACAAAGCTGGAATGGCGCTTGATCTTTCCCTATTGGAGTCAATCGAGCCAGATTCCGGCAGTCTGGATAAGGAAAGCGGCTGCAGGCCGCAGGTGTTGCAACTTGGAGCTTTTACGTTGAGTGCAATCTGGATAGCGTCCACTTTGGGAAAATCAGCGAGCCGATAATGCAGCCAACTCGACTCATTTGATTAAAATCCTTTCAGTCTTCGTCCGAATCGAATGGAATGGGATGCACTATCAGTAACAACTTTTTTATTAGATCAGACGCACGTATGTGATCCGAATCGGTCCTTGGGGACTGATTCCCATCAGCATCTTTATCATCCAGGTTGTTTTTGCTGCTCAACAGCCGGCTGACTGTTCAATCAACTTGATGGCACCTTAGATGACGGCCATTTAGGCGTATCTACCACCATAATCTGCGCTTTAAAAAAGAATGATGCGGGAGTTTAACTGGCGTTAAGCAAGGGCAGCTGAAAAAACAATAACTGATGATTAAATTGATGGCATGAGAGCGAGGCCCTAATAAAACTAATGCCAATTAAGGCTGTGGTTTCAGTGCGCGGACGTTTTTGGAAGGAAAATCAAACATCGACAAAATGTGCCATTTTTGCTCGCTTGTTTCCTGCCACTAAACAACGTCTGGATGAAAGCCGCAAACTCCATTGACGTGTGATTGCATAAATTGTGCCGGGTTTTCTATCGCAGGGGCGCATCCCGCGGGATTTGGCCGATTCCTTTCCCATCCCGCTATTTGCATATTATTACAGTTTGGATTCTCGTTTTTGGGACGATTGCTTTGTGCCACCCGAGCTGTTTGCCGAATCAAAATGGCCCGATTAATAATGGATGCGGGCACGGAATGAAAAAATCCGCATGCCCTGGATTTTGTCAATTTTTCGGCAGAATTCGGCAAATCTGAAACGCAATGGCAGTGTTTGCTCTAATTGCCGGTTCGATTAAATGACCGGTTTCACCCCCATTTGACCCCAAAATTGCCAGTTTGATCCTGCTACTGAACAATTAGCAGGACGGTCGCATCCGGCACTTATTCCCGTTCGGTTCTAATCGCTTTTAAATTGATTTATCGCCGATTAATTGGCCGTTTCTTCATTAAAACTTAATAACTGCCTTCTCCCCCCAATTGCGGATTAACTTTTATGGTAGCGAAATGCAAGTAAACAGCGCAATAAACCATAAGTGTCATGCAGGGATACAGTGGCTTTATTTCACTCAGGGCTTTTTGGCAATTGCTAGTTTATCCATGTTTTTGCCGAAGCAGTCCAGGACGGTCCTGGTGGCGCTGCACTGCTCGCCTGTCTGCACCGCACTGACCTCCGCCTGGCAAAGAGCGGCCACTTCCTTAAGGGCGGCCAGTTTCTTCAGATTTCCGCGGGCTATCGGCGAAAAAGTGATGACGAAGCCGCGCTGATTGAACTGCCCGTTTTCGATGATGTGCAGCTTTGTAAAGAGACACTCTACCATGCACACCCCTGAAAAAATCGGGGGTTTAGTGGGTTTATCGGCGGGGAAATTGCAAAAAAGTTTCAGGTTTCACTCTGAAATAAAATTGTCTCGCTACTTTTCCTGAGCTCTGATTTGCTTCAAATTTTCCCCTTGTTGTCACGAAGGTCTGGGCTACAAATGCTGAAAGTTTTAACCAGATCCCGCCTCGCAGTCTCAAGCTATGATTTTCTGAATAGAGGAGAAGGTGTAGGTC